TTGTCATAAGGCGAATTTAGTCAGTCCAGAGGAGGAGTAACTAATATACATAGCGAGTGGAACAGTTCGAATGGGAATAAACGAATAATAGAAAAAATGAGTACTATTTTGATTTGATCCAATGACAGTTATGCCCTTGGTCCTAAGGACAACAACGTCATATTGATATCTAATGAGTCGTTTAGATACTAAAATAGATATTTATCTCTCCCTACAATGAGTGCTGCAAGATAGCCTGAATCGATTATTTGTTGAATGCTAGAGTTTAGTGCGATCCACATCACTCTTTTTTCAATAATTTCTCATGCACAGCGAGGGCAAGCTGCCTGTTCTTACTGCTCAAATTTTTGTAAGGTGCCACTAAAACACCCCTTAATTAGTTCATAAGACAGATGACTGTAAGTAAGATAGTCGGTAGTAAGGGTAACAGAAGTAGAAGAGGAAGTTTTTTTTATAGAAAAAGAAAATATTGTAGATTAAGAAGGAAGGGTGGAAACAATGAAGAATTCTCTAGAAGAACGCTGCGAACAAGCTCAGAAACATCCACGCTGCGCTGCAAATACTGATTCCATCTCGTCAGAGAGCCTTGTTCTCCAGGCATCACACTGGATAACTTTTTATTATGTCCAGACCATTAGGAGTTGATGTCTTTATCCGAATATGATGTGGTATAAAACGACGAGAGCGAGTTTCGAAGATTAAAAACAACAGGCAGCTGGAGACAGGGTGGTTGTAGAAGGAACTTGAAAATTTATCTATTTCTTACTAGAGGGTAGTACTATCAAGCGCTCCGCGCAAACAGATAATATTTAGAAAAGTGTCACTTCATCTGCATGTTTGTACTTATATTCGATTAATTGAGAAGATCTTAGTTCTAAAGCATATTTGTATAAGAAGATCTTAGTTTTAAAATATATTTGTATTTTTTCACATTGAGCAACAAAGAAATCACAGCTCGAAGTTGATTTTTGTTAGGTATAACCCAGACGTTTGGTAGCTTTCGGGCAAGATTGAATAAAAGTCTCGTAGCATCTTCCACGTGTTAGGTTGTTCCAGTGCTGAAGAACCGTAGCGTTCACATTTGACCCTATCCTCAACGATTCTGTAGTAAAGCATGGAAAAAAATCTTTTGATGAAGCGATCAACAGATTCAAAGCTTGAATTGTCACATTAGATAGATAAACCACAGCCAAAGCGTCCAGTTGCAATGTCGTTTTGCTGCTAACAGAAATGATATCCACGCTCAGCGGTTTTTCTTCTTCTCCACTTAATGTCATTATATCTGCTCGTAAAAGCAACACTATCGTG